TTCATAAAAGACATAAAATGTGTTTTTCCTAAAATTTTTCGCCGGAATTCGTAATATCACTCGCACTTTTCTCGTTGTCCTTTTTGACGCCACTCAATTAAGTTATTTCTATTGTTTTTGGTTGTGCCTGTGTGACACTGTTGCCATACATATGTACATACATACATACGTGCTGTTATGGTTGTCAGTATTGTTCAACTAAATTTGTAACACAATTGTCACAATAAATTCCGAGTGATTGCTGTAATTCCCTACGATGTCATTATACTTGTAGTCAGCAAGTGTTACTATTGTTGTTGCTTTTGTACAACTGCTTTTTATGTAGGTGTTGATCTAAAGCGTGAACGTGTGTGCGTCTTTATGAACACTAATTGTTGCATTGTGTTGAAATCATTGATTGCAGGCACCCATATCTGCCATAGGTGTGTTTTTCTCAAGCGATAATCACACTGACCAACTTTCTACCTACAGAGGTCAAGGTATTCGTATATTACACTTATTTACATATATATTCATTTTCTGAATTTCACATCACTATACTGAGGTCTGTATTTAATACTGAGTTTGTATGATTTGTTCCAATTTTATTTTCGGTTTGCATCGCTGACAGAATTACAATACTCTTTCGAAAAACTGCTATTGACGACAAATTTATAAATCTTATTTGATCATGGCAACAAGTGGAAATGTTGGCATAATTTAGCAAAATTTGATTATTGGACCATGCAAGCATTTTTCAAGCAATCTTCAAAGAACTAACTAACTCCGATTGTTTATCAATCCATGACTTAAGCAATATTAAAGCGCAATAATTGAAGTAAGCGCAAGGAATTCATATATTGAAAGTTTTGTAAAGATAATTGATTTCAATTAGAGAATGTTAGAGTAGTGGCAGCTACACATAATTTTTCCTTTGATGTTTCTTATCGCACAACATGCGCTTCTAACAATTGCTAACTTCGTTAGTTGAATCCCAAACTTATAAGCCGACTACCTCTACTTTGTCTTCACTTTTCCGAGAGGGTTGGTTCGAAAGGCATTGCAGTTGATGCACTCAACGCTGGGCAGAAAACGAAATTACAACAGCTGTACATCAGCAATGGCAAATGCAGTATTATGTTTCTATGTGGAGTGAGCTCTGCAACTTACTTACAGATAAGTAAAATATTTCAATAATGTTGCGTTACTGTGGGCACTTGAAATCATTGTTTGCAGAGCGCTAGTTGTTACAACGTACAACTGATAATCATGTAAATCAAATATCTACTAACTAAATGGGCCAAAAATTACTTCTTAAATTGCCTCATACTATCTAAACTTCTATATATGGTACATACTCACATATCAAAAGTGCTCACGGCTAAAAGAGTGTGGCTTAGATTACAATGGCTTGAATGTGACTGAACGCACGAGTGTCTTTTTGAAACCGTAAAATCACAGCACTTACATTGCACTTGTGCTTCAAGGCTTGTGAATTAAGAGCTTTGCGGGAGTGCTACTAGAAGTAGCTGGTTAAATAGGGAAGACTTTTTCCACACCTAAATTCATTTGGTCTGTGAATACCCGACTTTTACAGGGACGTTCGGTGGGTGATATTATTACACAAACGTAAGTAATAATCAGAAATATTTTAAACATTTTGCCAAGAAAATTATGTGAGCTTTAAGTCAGTAAGTCAGTAATTTAGGCACACGGTGACACATGGCGGATACGTAACACGTAACACACGGTAGAAATTGCTCTCTAAAATTTAAATTTCTCTCACTTAAACATTTTTTTTGGCTAAGACATTTTATGAATGAATAATTTGTAAAACAGATTTACGTATATTTTTTAACTTAGTTTGCCGATTGTTATAAAGCGGAAACCGTTGTTTCAATAATTATGTCAAATTTTATAACCAGCTGATAAGGTTTCCAAACTAATTAATATCCATTATCGGCATTAAGGATTAAATTGAAGTTCAATTTTCTACTTATGCGCATTTGCCTATACACGTAGGTCAACGCAAGAGATGGGTGCGCTATCAAATATTATTATAAACACAATCCATCTTAAATGATAAATTACTTCCTGTTTCAAATTACTTTTTTTTGTCAAAATTATTACTACTCATTATTTAAGACTGACAAAATATAGAAAAATGTCTGTAGTGACCTATAAAGAATATAATATTATGTCAAATGATGATGACAAATTTAAAAGTAATTTATTCAAACGATATCGTTGTAAAATATAGTCTTGAAATATCGATTTAATTATTTAAAGTTATCTACTTTACTTGATTTTGGACCCACTGAAAGAAAAGAATTAAAACATATCATATTTGTTGGAGTCCGCTTACATAATCGCAGTCACATACTTATTGTAAGTAGTGTGTGAAGGCTTCCAATAAAGGTTTATTATACCTCTATTGCAGTGGGAGCCCTTTGGCTCACTGTGGCTTCGAATGTCACCGTTGAAAGCAATCTTTTGGATGAAACGCATTCAGGATGAGCAGAGAAAGCAATATGGTAATAATTCTTGGAATAAGCTTTGTCGAGGGACTTTTGATAAAACTTTTACGAGTGACTGCGATATCGACTTATAAATATGAAATTTGAGCACAAAATACACAACACCCAATGTACATAAGTAGCACCATATATCTCACCTCACATATTTAAATGTAAATATTATTTTCTACCCTTTTCTAAGGTAAAATTAAATCTGAGTCTGTACACATGTATGTGTGTAGATATTTACGATACAATATGCAACATTTTGCATAGTAATTATCAGGAATATTTTTGTAACAGGTTTATTTTTATTTTTTGTTTGTACTTGTCTTACTCTTTTTGCTTTGTAGCGCTTGCTTTACTTTTACAGTTAGCAACCTAACGATCGGAGCGCAATATAATTCAATGTTATATATTAATTAATATACCAACAAGTTTACATGTTAACAAATTGTAGCCACAAACACATACACGCACAGGGATTATGTACATATATGGTGTGCAATATATAAAATATCGTGCCATGATGTAATTTATCACCTGCCAATTAGAGTATTAACATACGCTTAGCGCAGAGTCGCATCGCTTCGGCGTCTGACCCGCCGTGTTCCCCTTACAAACAGTTAAAATACAAAGTTAAAGAGAGTATTCTGTTTTTGTTTTGTGTAAGAGATGCGCCTTGAAGTGGACGGAGCGGGAGATCCACGAGGTGTGAGCGTCGCAGGGCATTTACAACATGACAACCAACGAGCTGTTGTTGTTTACGTTCTTAATGTCAAATACATATTTATTTACATGCTCTTTAGTTGCATACAAACAGAGTGACATGTGCCTCGGATAAGTTGTCAAAACACAAACAAGTTGAACATTTTTTAGTTGTTGTTGTTGTATTTATTGTGGTTAATGCCAATAGAATTGAAGTGTTTGTTTGAAATAACTGAAATTCCAAAGTGTGTAATCACCAAATAGGAAGTGAAATCAATAAATGGGGCATAAATATTAAATCACACGAAATGCCCGCTTTACAAGTATTAACCCGTTGGTGCTGTTGTACCGTTAATGTACGTATGTGAAGATTGCAGTGAAAACTTATTATGTGAAAAAAAGCGACCTAGGACCGTTATATAAAACGTCTTCATTCATGTGGGCGCCTCGGTCGCCGTCTTCGAAGGTGGGCATTCTTATCCAAGATAACGGTGTCTGATCGCAGCTCTTTTGTAGCCAATTGAGATTAATTAGTAAATTTTTGCTCTCAACAGCTTAATTGCAACCGCCTAAGTTCAAGTCTTTGATTTTACTATTGACAATAATATCGTTTCGAGAGGTATTTTTAAAGAATCACAAGCCTTTTTAGTTAAGATACCAATGTTTTTGGTTCATTTGTGGTTACCTAAAGCTCATGTAGAATCTCCGGTTTCTGGGTCAATAATTTTAGCTGGAATTATGATAGTTGATATTTAGTTCCTTCTCCAGATATAACGCAGTTATATGATTCATATGATTTCTCTCATTTCATGTTTAAAAATTATGTACTGAGCTCCTCCTCTATATATCTGTTCCACTACTTCCACTTGTTAGCTGAAGTTTTCGGAACAACATTTTGGCTCAAAGTGAATCTCAAGAGGTCTAGTGAGCTCTTCGTCCGCAGTTGTTGTAAGGTTGGTCACTGCCCACGTGCTTAGGTTGACAAACTTACTGGGTGCCAGTTGTATAAGCTGTTTGGAAGAAGACGAGGTAGAAACATGTCAACACTTCTTTCCTGACTGCACCGCATTTGCGAGATGTGTTTTACACCTCAGAGTTCCCCCTTTCAGACAATCCGGTGTGCAGCTGTTCTTTATTCTGGCTTCATACAGGATATAGTAGTCCAGGTGCGATCCCCATCTTGAGGATCAGCCACGGAAGCTAGCCCAACCTAGCCTGGAATATAAGGTAAAATATAGAGTTGAGTAGGGTCCACGCTTGGTAGAGGGGTTTGCTGTGAACAGCTAGTGGGAAAGTGCCCCTTCTAGTTGTTGCTGTTGCAGGAGGGCCACCGTGCTTAAGTGTTATGATTTTTTTTGCGAAACTCATTCAACTCAATTTGCGCTTATTGGCAGAAGGAGGCACAAACACACCTGCACTTATTAACATGTTTGTCTCTTTACAAATTATTATAGCCGCTAGCACGCGGCACAAGTGTGCGGTATGTTTGTAGCCGCTAGCCGGCTAGCCCAGTGCCCATGTGTAGAGCCATCGGAAAGCACTTCAAGTGCCGAGCAAAATATGCAAAGTCAGCCGCCGTGTGAGAAGGGGTAGCTGTTTGCGCGCGGGATGTGTGCACGGGCACAGCGATAAGGGCTCCGACCAGCCAACCCCCACACGTTTCGCGTAACATTCCTTTTCGTCGCATTGCAGCAATTTCACCCACAAATGCACACACACATACACATGTAACCGAATGCGTTGATGCCGTGGCAACTCTGCAAGCAAAATGAAACAAACCGGTGATCGCGCCGTCGCTTTAGGTGGCAATTCAGGTGCGTGGCGGGTTGCTGCCGGTGGAAATGTTGTTGGGCGGCGCTTCGACTTTTACTAACTCGTTAATGGGCCAGCTGCCTGCGCGGGTAGACAAAACACACTTCACTCTCCTGGCAGGCGAACAGCTGGACGATGTATAGAGTGGTAATCTTATCTGCTGTATACCATAAATTAGACGGGCGTACAAGCAATTTGTACGATATCGATAGGACAGCAGCAATTTCTGTACAATAATAATAATAATTGCCCGCGATAACGGTGTGCTGTGGTGAGCTGTGCAGTGTGATATTCGACGTTGTTTAAAAGATTGTTACGGCGAGAACGGGCCAACAGTTAAGCGAGTGATTTCATAGCGTTAGCACACGCAATCAAGTGTTCCGAGGTGAATTTCGCTAGGAAAAGTCAAAACAAATACACAAACACTCCCTTGAGTTCATAGACAAAGACTTTCAGTGCACAAAAGTCAAGCGTTGCAGCCGTTCCGTGCGTGAGTGCGTGCCTTAAAGTAAACTGACGCGTGAATTAGTGAACAAAAACAAAGAAAAAGAACTACAACTACAACTAACACAAAAAAAAAATTGAGAAAAAACAGTACAACATTTAACTAAAAAGTGTGGCAATAAAAAATCGAATAAAGTTAGTGCTAATTATCTGAGTGAGAAAGACTGCTTGGACACACACACACAAGTGTTTTCGAATATTCGTTTTATCAGCATTTTCTGACAACCAAAAATTTACAACAACGTTGGCCAGAATGAAGTTAAGGTGAGTTGAAGATTTATGCGCTTACGAGCAATTAAAACCAACACATACATACATATGTACATGTTGTAGCAGTATTGACATAGCAGAAAGTTACACATCAAACAACCGTTTATCGGTCAATATTTTTTTTACCGATATACTGCGTACATGAGCATATATGTGTGTATATGGCCGTTACTAAGCCATAAAACATTGAAAGTTAAGATTCTTTTTTATTGACTTGGCATGTGATCACTTTGTATTGGCCGTTATTTCGAGCCAAGTGACCATTGACTCGGTGATTGATTAATTTATGAAGGGAAGTTATGCGCTTCAATTGTAAACACACCGAAACACAAACAAGTCTGGGTAGACTAGTTGGTTGGTGTTTTCCTGCTTGTGCAAATTTCATCTCGAAGTCCAAACTATAAATAATTTTTTTAAACGCTGAAGGCGCTGATTGGAAGTACCAGCAAAGGCTCCTTTTGTAAGGAACTCAGTATCTATTCAATTATTAATAATTAACCTATTTTAGAGAGCAATATCTGCTAAGTGACACCCTGTAAGGATATTTATATACACTTCTATGAGCAAGCAGGTAGACATTTAACTTCTAGTTTGCCCTTATCAGTATTATATTCTATCAGGAAAATGTCTTGTTCAAAAATATATACATTTTACTCATTGGTGTTTTTCAAACTGCGTCTGGCTTCAAGTGGCATAAAGGTGGCGGCGAATTTGAGGTGTGAGACTCAATAAAATTTCAAGCTTTCATTTCCGCTATATATTTCAGCTTTTTTATTTGCTACACAATTAAGCGGTTTTTTGTTTCACAAAATAAAATAAATTAAAATATGCGCAGTTTTAAAAATTACCGTTCGCTATTCGAGAACAAGTTTCTTTTTTAAATTCTAAAATATAAAGCATATGGTGTTAAAAAAAAAGAAAGAACCCAAGTTCTGATGATAACTGATATTGATTAGTGCATTCATTGAAGTAAATAAATAAATTATATACAAGGAAAATCGATGAAAAACATTGATATATGTAGATAAACCCACGTCCAAAGGGAAAAACCGAAGCTCGCACAAATACTTCACCTTTTATCTAAAAGCCAAAAGAAAAACCGATAAAAGGATCAGCAGCCCCGGGAATGATGGATGCATATTATTGACATTATCGGAGTTTTATGAGTACTATTTATGTTTCATGATATAAACAAAATTATATCAATTACTAACAGCCTTCTTGTGGAAATAATGTCGGGTTGCGTGGGTGACGAAAATCATTATGCGACTATCTTGTTTACTCGCATGATTTATCATACGCCCGCGCTCCAGCATATCATAGCTGCCTAATCATTTCAGTTAATTGCATAATTAAGGTATCGTAATATGCGCGAACGCTTTGAGCGCTGCTATATACGATATGTATATATGACTGATTTACTCTGTTTAATTATGTGATAAAAAAGTTAAAAATGTGTTGGTATTTGTTGTTGTTGGAAACGAAATCAAATTGTTTAAATATGAAGCTAGACAATTTTAGTGACAGACCTTGGGTACAAAGTGTGTGAAAAAAATACAATATATACATATATTTACTTTATGTGTGCATGTACTTTATGTCCCTATACAAGTATGTACAAGAAAGGAATGTGTGTATACATTCTGTGAATAAGAAGGGTTCACATTTTTGTCAATTTCTATGCGAAAGTTCAATGCTTATTGTCGATTGCTTAACCGAAAAGGGTGCATAAAGAATATTTTAAGAAGTTTCTGTGAGTTTTTATACCCTGAACGGGGTATATTAAGTTTGCAACAAAGCTTGTAACACCCAAAGGGAAACGTTGGAGATCCTACAAAGTATATATGTATATATGTAATTAGAGTGACGAGCTGATTCGATTTAGCCATGTCCGTCTGTTCATCTGCATATATGCGAACTAGTCCCTCAGTTTTTGAGATATCGATCTGAAATTTTGCACACGTTCTTTTCTCACCAAGACGCTGCTCATTTGTCGGAACCGCCGATATCAGACCACTATAGCATATAGCTACCATATAAACTGAACGATAGGAATCAAGTGCTTGTATGAAAAACTTTTTCATTTGACGAGATATCTTCACGAAATTTGGCAGAAATTATTATCTATGGTGTTATTTTCCAAAAAAATATTTTTCAGATTGGACTAATATAGCATATAGCTGCCATATACAATAAATTAACTCAAAATCAAGATAAAGATCTTTTTATACTTATTAATGCTATCAAAAATGCACCTGTGCAGGGTATTACAGCTTCAGTGCAGCCGAAGTTAATGTTTTTTCTTGTTAATTTTGTTCCCCTAAAGTATTGTAATATATGTATACGAGATAAGAAATTTAATCAGCATGAGTAAGGTAAAAAGTGGTCTGTATCCGAAACTCTGACCAATATTCCTCTCTAATCTCAGGCGCTTATACTGGAATCACAAATCGTCGGTGTGATATTAATTAGGGCGACTGATAAGTGATACTGGTGGCAATTAACAGAACAAGCCTAAAAGAACTTCACTTAATTAAATGGTGTTAATCACACAGCCATTATATTTACTAATTACTTTTCAATTACCGAAAACATAAAATGTACATTTTTGGAAAGAAGCGGGAACCACCCACTATCATATGCCCGCAAAGCAATTTATCACACGCCAACCACTTACATTTGCCAATTAATTAATGAGTGTGTTTTTCGGTTGTTTTTTGGAAACCACTTTTTTGTTTTGCTTTCAATAATGAATACCCGGAACTAGTGTTATCACTAATTTTGAATTTTGCGAAGCATTTAAGCATTTAAGAATTAACGGTAACAAGTCTACTGTATTTTTTTTTACCAAAGTAAACCTCTTTGCAAATATTTGTGCTTAACATTCGAGATTTCGCCACTCAATTTGGTCTAACTGACAAAAAATGCGCTCGTGAAACTGTTTGTTCTCAGCTAATTCTGTTCATGCTTTCGTTTATTTTCGGTCACAGAATTTCATGTGTACTTATTTACTATCATTTTTTATTTATAGACTCTTACGTTGTTTACGTCATACGAAACCGCAAGTGCCGGACGAATTCCACACAACGCCGCAGGATGTGGAGCAGCAGTTCACCGAGGTGCGCAAATCGTTTCGTGAGGCTGTGAAAATTTTGTTGCTGGGCACAGCGGAGTCCGGCAAGACGACAATTATCAAACAAATGCGCATTTTGCACATAAATGGATACACAGACGAGTAAGTTGCATATTAGCGATGACGAGAGCGAAAGCTCACCTAAGCTTTAGTTCAGAATAAGTCACTTGAATGAAATCATTATGGAAGTACTTAATAATTTTCTAGGTTAGGACCTCTCTTGAATTTCTCTCTGAACCTTTTTCTGAAACTAACATTAACTTTCATAAATACTTATACATGCATATTTATATTTTTTTCTCATTACAGAGAACGCTGTGACAAAATTCCGGAAATATACCAAAACATCCATGAATCCATCTATCAGTTGGTGCAGCATATGTCTATATTGGGTATCCAGTATCAGAGCATAGCGAGTAGAAAGTGTGCAGACTATATACTCTCAATGGGCGATCAAGCACCGGAATACATGAATGAGGTGGGTTCTTCAATTAGGAATTATTTTCCAAAGTTAAATAAGGTTTTTATAAAAGACACAACTTAGAACTCGAATGACTTTGAGCGAATTTTCGGGGTTCAAGGATTAGTTTAAGCTTGTTTAAGGTTAACCGCTTCAAGAACAGACTCAAATTTATAAATACTGAATAAAATTTGACCAATGTTGCTTAATTTCTAGAAATATTCATTCATATTTTAGAACTTCATTAATGAAATTGATTTTGTCCTCCTTTTGGCATATATCATATAATTCTCATATTTGTGCCAAACGTACTTGTATTTTACGTGAGAAGTTCTTTATATGCAAGTAAACGTAAGTGTGTATATTTACTTTAAATTTACGTCAAATATAATCGAGTAGGCACTTGGGCTCTTAGATTATATTGATTGTGATGTGCCAGAACAGCACAAAACAAATACAGTGTTTAATTTTCAAACACCACAAGGTATAAATAAAAAAAAAAAAAAATCGGAAGAGAGCTTCGCATACAAAGCTAAAAATCCGAATAATTTAAGTAATATAAAATCATGGATATGATTATCTGAATAACTAGTATACATTCCATAGTTTATATTTATAGTTGTGCGAGGAAAGCTATGTGTTGGTTTCTTATCACCACTTTTCAACACAATGTCAGACTTTTTAATGCAAAAAATGGATTTTTATGACTGATAAAATTATGATTAGCTTATGAGATTTATTATATTAAACGTGTGCACCGAAACAATAAGGAAATACCCACATTTATTTCAGCAGTGAGATGAGTGAGGACTTGCTTTAAGTTCTTTCTAATAGAAGTTGAGAAATAGAGAGAAAGAGAGATATTATCGGACTTCCAAATAAGTCCATCTTAGATACTGTGTCCCTAAGGATATTGCTCAGAAAACTGCTTATTTAGAACGACAAAACTAAAAATCTATTTTAAATAAACTAATGATTCATGCCAGCTCTAGCTCTGCAGCAGCGTTCACACGTATTGCCGACGTGCTGAGAGATAAGCTTATCAGGGCAGGTATGCATGCAAGATTTTCAAAGCGCCTGGTTAGTAGGAGTTAGGGCGATAAGAAGTGGAGGCAGGGGTCTGTCGTGCTGTTAACTGAATTCATTCGAAACATTCCGCTTAGTTAAGTGTTCTTAACCCATTGACAACCTTTTTTTTTTCTGTGAATAAATTGGTTTCTTATTAAAACTAGATAACGGTAGTGTAAACATAGAGTTGTACAATTAAAAAATTACAAAATGAAATAAAAACTTGTAAATAAACATTTTTTCTCTTCTTATTACAGGAATATTGCGATCACATAATAACTTTGTGGAATGATGTTGGCATTCGGACGTGCTTTGAGCGCTCCAATGAGATTCCGCTGCTAGACAGCACGAAATAGTAAGTTCCCAACACGCGCTGATAGTGACTGAAATCATTTATCGGCATCATTAACACGTTTGATTATTTACAATTAAGAACAGATTAATAATCAATGCCTTTTTCATTTTAGCTTCCTCGACAATTTTGAACGCATCTCCGACCCCGAATACGTACCATCTACCGAGGATATATTGCACAGCCGTAAGATTACCACCGGCATACATCAGATCACGTTCAAGGTGAAGGTGCCACGCACCATGGGCGGCGGTGTGCAAGAGTTCCGCATGTACGATGTGGGGGGTCAGCGTGACCAACGCAACAAATGGATACAAGTCTTCGAGGGAATTCAAGCGGTGCTTTTTCTCATTTCCTGCGGTGACTTCGATCAGAGTCTGCGTGAGGACCCGCGTCAGAATCGTCTGCAAGAGGCGCTCAATCTGTTTCGGAGTGTGTGGCAAAATCGTTTTCTCGCCTCCGCCGGCTTCATAGTCTTCCTGAATAAACAGGACGTGATGGAGCGCAAGATACGCGCCGGGAAGCATATTGTCGATTATTTCCCAGACTTTGAAGATTTCTGCAATTCTCCGCAAGAAGGCAATTACTTCGATGAGTCTGATTGGACGAAGCGCTTCATACAGCACAAGCTTATCGATATCACGCGTGAACCGTTCAAGCGTAATTCTCGAAATAACATTGACTACTCGAGGCGAGAGTGCTACTATCATTTTACCGTTGCTACCGATACGAGTTGCGTGCGGAAGGTTTTCAACGACGTACATCAGATGATTCTGCATCAGAACATGAAATTGATGGGGCTGCTGTGATGAGACTGTACATTTAGCACGAATGCGAATTCGTGAAGCGAAAATATTATAATTAGTCGTAGTGTGAGTTTATAAGTAGATAAGTGCAGAGTTAAGTAAACGTCAGCATAGTATTATGATTATTGTAAATCCATATGTTAGTGTTAGGTCCGTGCCGAATCTTTGAATTTTTGAATAAGCTTCAGAATTTAGTGAATTCCTATTCTGTAACTGTGATTTTAATAGGGATATTTATTGTAAGTAACATTAGTAGTTTTAAAAAATGAAATTTTCTACCGAAATTTATAATAACTTATGATTAACAGGATAAATAATTATAAGCAATCAAACAGTATGTGCAAAAGAACTTTTCGCCAAAGTTTGTAAAAAAACATTAAAATGACTTTTAGAGTTTTGAAAAAATAAAAATATCTTATTACTTGAAAATACCATCTCGTACCGTATATGAAAAAGTTGTGTAGGGAATTATTTGTTGGGCTGAGGGGTAAGATATTTAACCCCTATCAAATCTTTTGCCGTAGAATTACCAACTTAGTGCCACATAATTATTAATACTTAGTAATAATTAACGCTAATTAATCACATATATGTTATGTGATGCAATATAAAATCCTGCAGATCGCATGCTTAGGCACAATATCACTTTAATTTGCCAAGTTCACCGCAATATATCCAACGACTTTGTGCGGCCGAGTGGGTTTATTAAATTAGACTGTAATTACTTGACGATCACACACTTTGTAAACAAGCCTGGAATTACATATGTAATTAATTAGGGGAACATGCACCTACATGCACACACTCGTACATATGTTAATGGGTTTATCAGATAGAGTACACACGCTCGTTCTGTTCGCTCGACATTACTTGAAGTCACATACATATATTCAATTGTGTACGCCGTTATAAGAGGCTAATTTATACTCTTACATATTTAAGTTGAGGTAAATTTGTTTGTACGCTTGCACTGTCGTGCGATTGCAGTGTAATTGCAGGCGTCATTATGCTTGTATATGCGAGTGTGTGTGCGTGTATGTGTGAGTGTTGCATGCGGTGATTAATTTTGATTTGCTGCCATACAAAGTGTCAACTCCTTAGTGCCACACGCTATATAATGAATTTAAAAATTATTAAAGGGAGTCAAGCTGATAATCGCGTGGTTGGTGTGTGTGTGTGTTTATGTACGTTCAACCGTATTTCAATGCAAACACGCAACAGCGGAAACACTTTGTAGCAATTATTTGCTATTGTAGCATTATGCCACACGACACACAAACATCGGGCTCTTAGCGCCAGGTAACTAATTGGATAGAATGTTGGAGAAAGTGTCGAAAGTAATGTTGAACATGGGTGCTATAATCCATACATATGTATACATACATTTGAAGGTGAGTATGTGTGGCTGTGGGCAATTGGTGGCTTTAATCACGCAAACATTTGAAATGACATACAAATCATATTTATTTGCCCACTTCTCAGTGGCAAATTAGTGGCAAGCAACACTTTAGAAAACAGCGTTTGATGGTGGTCAGACAAGGAACAAATTCTTATGGAAATTCACTGCTTGAACATATATAAATTATATAATATTTTCAGAAGCAGTATGACATGATGTTATTCTAGGGCATACAGTTATAATATGTCCTGTTTTATTGACGATGGACCTTTTGATGGTTCAGAAAGTTACCACTGTTTCGAGTCATCAGCAAAGTAAAGTCCTTCTCAATTTCCCTTTCCCATTTGTACAAGAATCCGAAACATTTAGGGCTAGAATGATAGTAATACATGTCAAGTGTTTGTAGCTCTGGAATCAATTAACAAAAATTTAATTGAATTAAAAATCTCTTTTTTTTCTGTTATCAATTCTTTGGATTTGATAAATGATATTGACTCTGCAATTTTTCTTCTCTGACTTATTGAAATGGTACACTGTATGACGTGACAATATAAATTGACGTCATAAATGAGTTAATATAAGTATGTTTATGATTGTTCGAAAAAATAATATGTTTGCGATTAATACATACATATATATGTACAATCAAATAATATAAAGCATTTAAATGTTTAGTCTTTACTTGAATTTTCTACGACATTGCACGAACCTGTAAATTGTTCATTTAGGGGAGTCTTCTCAATGCTTAGATACTACTACAAAACTTCAGTTTAAAGTTATGGAAAGTCAACAATAGCTTTGTGAATTTTTAGGACACCATTAAACGCGTTTTTGTAACTCAAAACATACCAAAAATAAATTAAAAGTGCTCTGATGCTTCAAAGAGCGTAAACCTCGGTTGCGAAGCGAAAAAAAGCAAACCAAACAAAATGAATAAAAACGCTTTGCGTGCAATTATAATAACCGTACATGTTGTTGTATGTACAGTTTATCGTAACTGTGCTGTGAATGACATTACACAATAAACCCTACCGCCCCTTGCTCCCCAGCGGAGTTCGAGTTTATGTTGCGTGTCTCTGCGCGATTTTCTTGTTCAATTTTGCGGTTTTTGTGAAATTTGATATTTTTCACATTTAACGCTGTTTTTAGCAAATATTTCGAAAACCGAATGCGCTTTCTTGGCTCTACACTTGTCAACGAAGGACCAACCCGACCGCACGCCAACCGCAATCTCAAGTACTTTTTAGCTTTTGACAAACTCTCTGTTGTTGTTATTGTTTTGTTGCTTGTGTTCTTCAAGTATTTTGCAGTTATGTCTCAGTTACTTGTGGATGCTGGCACTTCCGCATGCGCTGCTTTGGTGGCCACAACTGATTCGACTTTGTGCTTTTCACGCTCTATTGTTCGGTCGTTGTTGTTGTATTTATAGTTTTCAATTTTTTACTTTCTGATCTTTCTTAAACATGCACAATGTATAATATAAGTGGGTATGTACATATTTCCCTACAATTTTGGCCAGTTTCGATTTCTTCATTTTGTTTGCTTACATTTTCATATTCTCCGCACTTAGCTTCACTTCCGCTGGTCGGCTTTGGCTGCATTGCAAGCTCGTTTCCTCCCCCTGGAACAGTTTGGCTTTCAAAAACTTTTTGCCACTTGACAGCTCAATACAGGGTGGCTCACGAATCACGCTACAAAAAACACACCGTAATCACTTTTTTTCTAATCAATGCATTACATTTATTTTTTTTATTTTATAGAAATTTTTATTTTATTTTATAATTAATTATTTTAAAAAACTATGGACCGTAAATGATCTCTATGCTCAGCCACGCATATGCGACACCTAATTATAAAATGATTAATTCCGGTTGATGTTGCTGAAGGGTTGAATTCGGGATCGGGATCACTTATCGATTTAATGGACTGCTTCAATTAAATCAGATTTTTGGGTTTTGTTTTGTACACCTCTTGCATTACATAACCCCATAAAAAAAGTCTGGTGCAGTCAGTCAGGTGACCTTGGGGGCCAGCGAAAAGTTTTAAAAGTTCTTGATAATTTGTTTTCAAATTTTCGTTGGATTATCAATCTGGCTATGTGTGTAGTTGCTCCATCTTCCTGGAACCAAACGCTATTGAAGGGAATACATTTTCAGCGCAGTTGTAAGTAAAAGTAACTTATTCAAATTATGAAATATGACAATTTTGTTTGTTTACATTTCCGTTTAGATTAAAATCGGCCTCATCAGACATAAACCGGCAATTTATCAAGTATTCGAAGCGAATAGGCAAAACTAGAGAATTTAACCGTCCTGTTATTTGAACTTTGTATGGAAACAGGTTTAAATCATTAAAAATTATCCGTTGTAATGACCGTCTGCTAACTCCAAGTTGCGCCGATAAGTTGCGAGTCTAAACTCTTGGATTTGTCAGAATTGACGATGCAACAGCCGCGATTGTTTCTTGAGCACGAACATACGGATCTCGACGGTACAGTCTTCAGGCGATACTTACAGATTCGGCATACATGTTTACCAACCTCATAATGATTCATTTACTCAGGGAAGTACCGCCAAAATCTCGTTTGAATTCCCTTCGGCCGGAAATGACAGACGGCAAAGCAAGTTACCGGTGCACTATCCAAACCCTCTTTTCAGTATCCCAAGCATTCATTTTTAAAAAATATAAATAATAACCTGCCAAATAAAATAAGTAAGTCGATTACTCGCGCAGAAAAAATGTTATTACGGTTTGTTTCTGTAGCACGATTCTTGAGCCACCCTGTACTTCTATACACCACGCAAATTTCTCTCCGATATTCCGGTAAGTGAACATTTTGCTTAGAACACTCATAGAAACAAATCTAAGTGTTTACATGCTTCATATATATTTTTATGATGTATACTGCATACTTTATAAGATAAACAAGGTGGGCAAGAGAAAGGTTCAGTCATACTGAAACTGTCTTAAATTAGATTTCTCTTCGAGCATCTCAATTCTGATATCTGTAGTACCGAATTACCACAATCTCAGGAGAATAGCAGTGTTCGTTTTATGGAGTTCCAATTTTCCTATAGAACTCTTGAAAATAAGATCGAAAGTCTATCGACGAATTTTATTAATTTTCCATCTTACTTCATTTAACTTAACACCTAACCTACCAAGCTTCTAAAGCAAAAATGTCTATTATTCGTTGTCCATAGTGATGAGAACGCATAAATGAAAGGCTAAAAGTAAGAGCGAAAGAAAGCGAAGGTGAATTAAAACAATGCCCACATTAATTATAGTGAAGCAATTACAACTACACCAACAACCGTCCCATCAACAGACATCCCAGTTTGCGGCTTAATTGAAATATCACTAACGGGAATAAGTCAAATAGGCACAAGCAAACTACAACAATCTTCGTCTATATATGTATAATACATTCCATCTTTTAATTTCGATATGGTGAGCGGAGCTGTGGAGTTGCCACATTAATCATAATAATTAAAATTTAATAATGATTTGGTGCTTAAGAGGTCCTGAGTCTAAACCTCAAAATTGATGGGAAAATCTTTTTCTAAAGTTCAAGTGTATTTGAGGAAACAACCGGAACTTTTAGTGTGGTTTACTAATGTGGACCCATACTTGCCCGGCTCACTTAAAAGAAAAACCAGGGGTTTCGATTTCCACAAATATATACTTTCCAACCAGCTGGCAGCAACCCATAAACACCTCAGTCTCTGTTTCTGTTTCTAATTTCTCGTCAGCTCGACACTTACATGCACACACATACCAACATGCACGCATTCATCATAAGCAACTCAACTGGACGCTGGAGTGTTTTAATTGAGTTTAAGTTGAATATCTCACATTACCAACACGTTTGATTTGAATTACATTTTCTTTTGCACTTTGCTTGCTGTCACTTATTCTCCGCAAGCGCTGCTGGCACTGCCATAACGACCCTTGGAGGTTTCTGGTTACTCAATTGCATTTTAATTTTGGATTGATTGGATTCAAGAGTCGTTTGTTGTTCTATTATTTTATTATTTTTT